TTGTAGCGCTTCGGCCAGAAATGATCTCGGCACAAATAAACAAATTATATCGACACAAAACAAAAGTTTAGGATAATAAATCTAACGATTTTAGTTGAATAAGCCGAGGTCGCTTGCGGCTGAGGCATTGGATTTAATATCATAAACACAAAATTAATTAATACATTTTAGCGTTTCGGTTATAAGCGACCTTCACTTATCTTAAAACAAAAAAAATTTTGCAAAGTTTAAAAATAGGTAGTAAAAATTGATTAATCGGAAAATTGTGTTATTTTGCACAAGTTTATAGTACAGTTCTTGAATCATGTCTGGTGTTACGGAACTTTGAAAACCTTCTACAAGGAGCAGAAAATTATCTTTAGTGGATGATCTGCTGATCTGTATGCACTGAAGAAGTCTACCTCTATATTTCTTAACTAGACCTAAAAAAAATATGGAGTACAGTATTAGTCATGTTAGTATATGCTGTAATGTTGTTAGATACTGCTGTCTATGGCACAACTATGCAATCGTCTGATGTTGTAGAACTTGTGCTTGCTAGAACATTGAATCGAGAAATGTTTAAATGATCGTAGAGAAAAAGTTAAAACTTTTAAGTGTAGCAACAGTTACATTTATACTTCCTGTAGTGTTTTTAAGCAGAAATTCAAGACTAACTTCGAATTCGTTGCTGATATTGTAGAACTGTTGGGTTGGGTTCTGATAGTTGTTTGAAGGCTTCAAAAATATTTGATCTAAATTGACTTCTTGGTTCTGTTTCAGTTTAAGCGGCACTTTCATTGAAAACATTATTAATATTACTAATATTTTAATAATTTGAACAATATGATGACATTCAGAACATAATGTTTGGATCGTATGGTCATGTTCAAAATTTCTGCAACTACGAACTGCTGTTAACCTTAAAGATGCCTGTAAGAAAGGTTTACCAATTACTACGAAACCTAGACTGTGATCGTCATAAAGTATACACAGGCGGTGAACTTAACCCAAAAAATTTAACAAAATAATTCGTTTGTCGTGATGTTACGCTGAATTCCCTGAACTTGTTAAACCATTCTAGAAACAATCCAACTGATTCAACCTTACAAATAGCATCACGTTTTCCAAAAAATTTTTAAAATATCATCTAAACAAAAAGATAAATGCACATATCAGAAAAAATTGAATTTTTTGATGGTTGTTTTGTATTTTTTATATTTTTTACATTTTACATTGTAGCGTCTCGGTTATAAGCGACCTTCACTTATCTTAAAACAGAAAAAAAAATGCAAAGTTTAAAAATAGGTAGTAAGAATTGATTAATCGGAAAATAGGAATTAGTAAACCAGCTAAATGTAGAATAAGTAGAAAAAGTGATGGGTTCAACACAAAATCTTCTGCCATCTCGAAAGGCAGCAGAGAAGGAGCGACAACCACAACAGATTCAACCAAAAAATATGAATTACATGATATTGTGAGTGTTGTATAGTGAGGGTTATATGGGTTTGTTATGGTGCATGTGTATTCGTGAAAAACGGTCCTTAGAAGCCAAAATCAGAAGCCTTGTGAATCTGGAACCCGAGTTTACGATATTTTTGTTTTATTAGGACCATTTGTACTACTTTCGATTTCGTTTGTACCTCAAGCGGTTTCAAAAGACAGCGATTTTTTGATTTTTGAGAATACCGCTCAAAGTATATACCTCCGCAGAATTCTAGCCTCATTCGATATAGTTAACTATACTCCAATGTTCCCTTAAAACCCACAATTGACATTGTAATGAAACTCTTTAAAGAGTAATTTGTGGATCCCTCAATGGTTGAACATCTCAATGCCATACTTGAACATATCGTCACTCAGAATTATTGCTCCTTTAATAATGAAATATACAGTTTAACTGATGGCCAACCTATGGGAATGCCACTGTCAGGTATTCTCTCAGATATTTTCCTGGACCACTTAGAAGATAAATATATTGTCAACACTAATAATCCTTTTAATGGATCTATAATAAAATGGTTACGATATGTTGACGATGTTTTCATAATTTGTCCATTAATCCATCTATCTATGGCTCTACAGCCCGTATCGAGCCTTGGCCTTCCTCATCCTCTGCCTCCATTCATCCCTGTCCCTGGGCTCTCTCCTCCAACTCCTACTCCAGCATCTCGGTCCACTTCTTCCTCTCTCTTACCGACTCTTGCTGACTGCACTCTCTCTTCTTCCATGCTGATCACGTGGCCAGTCAATCGTAGGAGTCGTTGGAGTCTGATGAACTGTGCCAGTGGCGGGTCTTGATAAATCTCATACAACTCGCGTTATATCTTGATCTCCATCCATCCTCCTCCTGAACTAGCCCAAATGTTCTCTTCAAGATCCTTCAAGACATTCGCGCATTCCGCCGACTTTTCCATCAGCGTCCATGCCTCATTCTCATAGCTTACAATCGGTCTATTGTTTGTTTTGTAAATACACAGTTTGCTTTCTCGGTGTATATCCCTAGATCTGAATATGGGGGTCAATGCAAAATACGTTCTATTGGCCAGGACTGATCTCCTTCTGACTTTTCCTGACTCTGTACCAAGCCCAGAGAATTCTACACCAAGGTATATAAGGTGAGATATATAATACGAGTCATGAAAGTAACTTAACAACCCAAGAACAAAAATCATATTATACATCATAATTACTTAAAAATCAAGATAAAGTGGGAGAGTAAATACATATTATGTGATTAAAATCGATAGTAAATTAATGTATATAGATATAATATATAATAGGGGAAAGGTAGAAAGACGATACGCGATGGTTATTATAAATTATATCGGGTACTGTTAGCGGATGCGCCGTCGACCGTGCAGAATCCATAGGCGAGGGCCGAGTGCGACCTTTACGCACGACTACGCGGTCTTCTTAATTAACAGTAGTAAATAAGGGGCCCCGTGCGATGTCCCCGCCCCCTGCGCCATCCCCTTCGCCGGTAAATCAGCTTTCAATGTAAATAACGGCGCGGGCCGCGTCATGCGAGGGTCAAAGGCGGCTCGTTCAGGTCGCTTCCGGGCCGCATAAGACATCCAACCGGATCGTGGGTTAATTAGCAACACCTGCAATACTTAGATATTCTTCCCATAAAATTTAAATAAATAAATAAAAGTAATTTTTTTTAATTGTAGTAAACATTTTAATTTTTAATAGATATAGATAGTATTCCTGATTTTATCAATGAATTTTTAATCAATTATGAATAGCTAACACTGTGGGTTCAGAATTAGTTCTAAATGATGGGTCAAACAGTTTCAACATATAAATACTTGCAGTTAGTTGGTAATTTAATGGTGGTGTTCCCTGTATGGTCCCCAAATCAAAAGACATTTATTTACAAACGTCTTTATGGAACTGGTTTGATATTATCGTTATTGTTTTATCAGTTTTATACAACGATTTCGTTTCGATTTGTGTCAGGATTACACTCCGATGGTGAACATTATACCCAAGAAGAATTATCACACATACTTTTATTTTCCACTTATATGGTTCACATAATTTTTGGTGCATCCGTTTTATACATCATTAATTTTTACGTTCCATTCAAGCTATTGAATATAATTGAAATTTTAAAAGACGTAGAAGATAATTTGCCACAATCGAATTGGTCACTAAAAAAACACACCTTTTTATTCATATATCTTCCAATATTCGGCTATTGTATTTTGGAATTATACGGATTAAACAGCAAAGATGAATTTATCTCAATTCAAAACGTGACTATTTCTGTTATGATGGTGCATTTAAATAATATGATTAACTCAAAATATACTCAACTTATAGATATTCTAGAAGATAAAAGTTTTAACAGAAATGATTTATCAAAAATTTTAAAAATTTATCATAATCTTTGGTTTGTAATTCAAGAATATACCAGGTTATTTTCGTTACATCTCATTGGATTGTTTGCCACAACCTCTTTTTATTTATTAAAATTTACCGGGGATATTATTATGTTAGTTTTGAATAGAAAAGGATGGTACACAATATTGTCGGCGTTTCTATGCCATTTGGTAAGCTTTAATTATAAATAATCTTGATGATCTAGTTCTATATTCCATATTTCATAAACACCGTTAATATTTAATGCTTAAGCTTTGTTATTAAGGCTTATTGTTAATGTAAAAATGGGTCAAAGTGTATCAAGTTATAAATACGTCCAATTTTTTGGAAACTTAATGTTAGTTTTACCGATATGGCCACCAAGTTCTCATCAACACATTTATAATCAATTACAAGAAATGTTTGTGGCAGCAAGTATAATTTTTGGGATGTATCATGCTTATGATATAACTGCTTACAACCTATACAACTTATCAACAATAGAAGATATTAGAATGGAATACTATGACGCAGATATTATAGCAAACACTATTTTACATACGACTTATTTTTTCGATTTGATTTTGAATGCAATCGTTTTATATGGAATTAATTTTCAACAAAGATTAAAATTGTTTAGAATGATTGAAAATTTACAAAATATCGAAAGTTGTCTTCCCAATATTAATCAAAGTTGTCATAAAAATATTACTTGGATCTTTTTTTACTTTCCAGTTTATTATTATGTTTGCATAAAACTTTATAGCTCGGAAATAGATGAAATCGTGTTGGAAATGCAAGCTATTACAATATCATTGATGATGTTGCACTTCAACTACATGATTAACTTACAATACAAAGTTTTAGGAAAAATTGTAAATCAAGATAGTAATTTGTCTGAAGATTACAAGAAATTATTTTTTATTCATACAAAATTACGAGTTGTTGTTGATGATTACATAAAGTTATTCGGTCTTCATATGTTAACAATTTTATTAACATGTGCTTTCTATTTAACAAAGTTTACAAAAGATTTTTTGAAAGTAATCGAAACGAATCAAGGTTTTTTAACGTTATTGTACATTTTCTTATGCCACTTGGTAAAAATTAAATCATTTAATTATTTACTAATAATAAATTATTAATTTTAGGTTATTCCCTGTGTGACAGTCAAAGCTGGCGCAGCAACAGTAAGAGAAAGTAGAAAAGTCTTAATTTCATTCTTTAAAAAAGGAGACGGACGGAAAATGCGGTTTATAATGCGAAATTCGAGACGATATCAACCTAAAATATCAGCAATGGGAGTTTGTAATATTTCTTATAGTACATTATTTGCGTACACAACATTTACGATGTATTTAATAATTGTTAGTGCTCAGTATATGTATCCATTAATTAATAACACTATAAAATAACACTAATAGAATACTTAAAAGTCTTTAATAATTTATAGAGTTAAATTTCAAAAATCGTAGCTTCATGATTTGTAGGAATAAATAAATTAAATTTGGTGGGTTGAATCTGGGTTAAATTTACTTTAAAATGTTTTTTATTTCATCTTGATATCTCAATTACTTTTTGAGATATGATTTTTTCAAATTTAGTCTTAAAATATTAAGTTGTCATAATTAAATATACAAAGATGTGTTCTAAAAATCGTAACTTCGAAATTTGATTGAATAATAAAATAATTTTAAGTACATTAAATACTCATCAAGTTTGCTTTAAAATGCTTTTTATTTCACGGAGATATCTCAATTAGTCCCAGAGTTATGGTTGTTTAAAGTTACAATTTGATTAAAAAACCACAATAACTACACAGAGTTGAATTTCAATAATCGTAGTTTCGAGATTTATAAGAATAAATGAATTAAATTTGGTGGGTTGAATCTGGGTTAAATTTACTTTAAAATGTTTTTTATTTCATCTTGATATCTCAAATACATTTTGAGATATGACTTTTTCAAATTTAATCTTAAAATATTAAGTTATTATAATTAAATATACAAAGATGTGTTCTAAAAATCGTATCTTCGAAAATTGTGGGAATAATAAAATAATTTTAGGTACATTAAATACTCATCAAATTTCCTTTAAAATGCTTTTTATTTCACGGAGATATCTCAATTTGTCCCAGAGTTATGATTATTTAAAGTTACCATTTGATCAAAAATCCTTAATAACTACACAGAATTGAATTTAAAAAATCATAGCTCCGGTATTTATAGCAATATATAAATTAAATTTGGTGGGTTGAATCTGGCTTAAATTTACTTTAAAATGTTTTCTATTTCATCTTGATATCTCAATTACTTTTTGAGATTAAATATATCTTTGGAAAGTTTGTAAACGAAATAAACATCATCAAATCATTATTCAATGTTTGTCTTAATTACTTAAGCATTTATAGGTATAAATAATGTTTGATAGATTAAATCTAACTTAAATTTAGTAGGATATATTTACTGAACATTAAATTTATATAACTTGTAGAAATAGTATCATACATTATCACATATTAGATGTCATGTGGTAAACCTTAATTCCAAATAATCTTGTTGATCTATATTTCATTTTCCACATTTAATGAGCAACATTAATATTTAACAAACATTAATATCTAATGTTTATGCCTCAATCTTATCACTACATACAAACATTTAGTGTCACTATAAAAATGGGTCAAACCGTATCATCTTATAAATACCTCCAACTGTTTGGAAATTTAATGTTAGTTTTACCGATATGGTCGCCGAATTCTCCTAAATTAATTTATAATCAATTACACGACGTCATTATTAGAATAGGAATAATTATCGGGATTTATCACACTTATACTGAAACCAAACATAACCTATTCAACGTATCAAACATACAAGATGATATGGGAAAATATGATGCAGATTTTATATCAACTACTATCCTAAATACAACTTATTTTTTCGACTTGGTTTTTAATACATTCGTTTTATGTGGAATCAACATGCAACAACGATTGAAATTGTTTAAAATGATCGAAAATTTGCAAAATATTGAAAATTGTCTTAATCATCCGAATATTAATCAAACTTTGTACAAAAACATATCTTGGATCTTCATTTTCTTTCCGGTTAATTATTACGTTTGTGCGAAACTTTATCAATCTGGAACTGAAGAAATGCTGTTAGAAATGCAAGCGATTACAATATCGTTGGTGATGATACACTTCAACAACATGATTAACTTAAAATATAAAATTTTGAGACAAGTTTTGAAGCAAACAAATTATTTATCTAAAGATTGTAACAAAATATTTTTTATTTATTCCAAGTTACGAATTGTTGTTGACGACTTCACAAAGTTATTCTCTCTTCATATGTTAGCAATTTTATCAACGAGTGCTTTCTACATATCAATAGATACAAAAGATATTTTAACATCAATCGAAAAACATAAATACTCAACAAAGTTATTACAGATTGCTTTATGTCATTTGGTATTAATTAAATTAATTAATTACGTGTGAATAACAAATTGTTAATTTTAGGTTATTCCATGTGTTACTGCTAAAACTGGCCAAGCAACAGTAAAAGAAGGTAGAAAAATTTTAATTTTATTGTTTAAAAAAGGAGAAGGAATAAAAATACGGACTATGATTCGAAATACAAGACGATATCAACCTAAAATAGCAGCTAAGGGAGTTTTGAATATTTCGTATAGTACATTGTTTACTTACACAACATTTACTATGTATTTAATAATTGCTTATGCTGAGTATATGTATCCATTACTTAATAATACCACAAAACAATAATAATTAAATATTTATGTTTTATTTCTTTGTCATCTGATAAATATTAATTATAAATAATCATCTTCGCATTTTTCATATTTCATCGACATTTATTATTTATATATCAATATTTAATGTTAATCCCTCAAACTTGTGCATGCATACAAACATTTAATGTCAATGTAAAAATGGGTCAAACCGTATCAAGTTATAAATACCTCCAATTACTTGGAAACTTAATGTTAGTTTTACCGATATGGTCAACGAATTCTCATAAACTAATTTATAATCAAATTCAAGACGTTTTTATTGGAATAGGTATAACTTTTAGAATTTATAGCAGTTATAATATCATCAAATCCCAGTTTGACGTGCAATCACAAATTGAAAATGAGGATAATGAAGAATCTGAAATAGATAGTGTATCAATTACTGTTTCAACAACATCGTATTTTTTCGAATTGATTTTTAATGCATTCGTATTATTTGGGCTAAATTTTTACCATCGATTGAAATTGTTTAAAATGATTGAAAATTTGCAGAATATCGAAAATTATCTTTCGAATATTAAACAAAGTTCTTGGAAAAATATTTCTTGGATCGGATTTTATTTTCCAATTTATTCCTGCACTTGTATAATGCTTTACGATTCCCCAATTGATGAAGTAATATTATCAACGCAAACAATTACCATATCATTGATGATGTTACACTTCAACAACATAATTAACTTAAAATATAAAGTCTTGGGACAAATCTTAAAACAAGAAAGTAATTTATTCAAAGATTGGAAGAAAATGTTTTACATTTACACAAAACTTCGATTTGTTGTTGATGATTTTTCAACGTTATTCGCCCTTAACATGTTAACAATCCTATCAACAAATGCTTTTTACTTAATACAATGTGCAAATTTGTTTCTTGAATATAATAAATACGCCGTGCCAGTAAACTTATTAATCGTTACTTTATGTCATTTGGTAATAATTAAATTGTTTAATTACTCATAATAAATTCAGTGATAAGTTGCAAATTTTAGGTAATTCCATGCGTAACAATTAAAACTGGTGCAGCAACATTAAGAGAAGGCAAAAAAGTTTTATTTTATTTCTTTACATATGGGGAAGGAAGAGAAATACGAAACGCAAAATTATATCAACCCAAAATATCAGCAATGGGAGTATTCAACATTTCTTATAACACATTATTTTTGTTTTTAACATTTACTATGTGTTTAATACTTGCTAATGCTCAGCATATATATTCTTTACTTTATAAGTCTAAAAATCGTTAAGTTTTTTTAAAATTATGTTTATGCTTGCAAGATTGTTTGACTTTGCCTGATTGCGTCGGACTCACTTAAATTGAAATATTTTGAAGCGATTTCAACCTAAGCAACCCCGACTAAACTGAAGGCGATGTTTTTTATTTTAAATTAAAGATAAGAATATTGAAATATAGTTGAAATAGTTTTACCTTTAATTTGGTATATCTCATTACGATTAAAAGATTACACATTCAACGTATAGATTATTATGGGTCATTTTAAAATAGACAGTTTTAGGTTTAATTTGATATATAAGTCATTAACATTTTTTGAACTTTAATCATTTTTAGATAAAATTATTTCAAGTCCTAAAAGAAAGTTTTTGATATCTTTATTTATCTGGAAATACTGTATATTTAACATACAGATTATTATATATCATATTAAAATATACACTTTTAGCTTTCATTTGATATATAACTCATTACTTAATTCTCATAAATAAAGTCAGTGAGAGTATTTCAATTTTAATCAGTTTTGTATGAAACTATTTTAAATCCTCAAAGAGTGTTTTTGATATCTTTATTTATCTGGAAATATTATCTACTCAACATAGAGATTATTATATATCATATTAAAATATACATTTTTAGCTTTAATTTGATATATAAGTCATTACTTAATTCTCATTAATAAAGCGAGTACGATTTTTTGAATTTAATCAATTTTGGATGAAGTTATTTTAAGTCCTAAAAGAGAGTTTCCGATATCTTTATTTATCTGGAAATATTATGTATTCAACATATAGATTATTATATATCATTTTAAAATATACACTTATGGCTTTAATTTGATACATAAATGATTACTCAATTCTCATAAATAAAGCCAGTGCGATTTTTTGAAATTTAGTCCATTTTATATGAAATTATTTCAAGTCCTAAAAGAGAGTTTTTGATATCTTTATTTATCTGGAAATATTATATATTCAACATACAAATTATTATATATCATATTAAAATATACATTTTTAGCTTTAATTTGATATATAACTCATTACTTAATTCTCATAAATAAAGCCAGTGCGAGTATTTCAATTTTAATCAGTTTTGTATGAAACTATTTTAAGTCGTAAAAGAGAGTTTTTGATATCTTCATTTATCTGGAAATATTATATACTCAACATATAGATTATTACATATCATTTTAAAATATACACTTTTAGCTTTAATTTGATATATAATTCATTACTTAATTCTTATAAATAAAGTCAGTGCGTGTATTTAAATTTTAATCAGTTTTGTATGAAACTATTTTAAGTTCCAAAAGAGAGTTTTTGAAATCTTTATTTATCTGGAAATATTGTATATTCAACATATAGTTTATTATATACCATTTTACAATATACACTTTTAGCATTAATTTGA